TTTAGACTTTAATGTCACTTTAAGGATTGCCTTAATGGTTTTCTATTAGCATTATTGTGTGTGTGTGTGTGTGTGTGTGTGTGTGTGTCTGTGTATAAGTTTAAAATCTTTTTATATACACAGTCATGTGAAAAATTATGTACACTCCGTAGAAATTGACTTTTCTCAATATAGTTGAACATTTACCAATAACACATAAGCAGCCTTCGGCCTGGTTCACACCTGATTTGTTTTTACATGATAATTTTAGTCAAGCGAAAACACGCAAAACACACATTTTCATGCTAGTGAATGGGGACTGTTCATACCTTAGTGTTGCATCGCAAGTAAGAAAACGCCTGTCATGAAAAAGAATTAGGAGGTATTTTCAGGCAGATGCAGCATGGTTTTGGTCCCATAGACATCACTATGCAGGGAGTAACATGCATTTTTAAAAGCAAAAAAAATGTGCGTAACTGTAGACGACTAGGTGTGCACCTGCCATAAGAGTAATTTGGTACCACACTCCTGAACATCTAAAATCAATAAAATTACTTTTTTAAAGGGGCTTTTAAGGTTCCAAGAGACACAGTCATACACAATAGTTTTAATTTTAAAAACCATCCAGTCTATTAACTAATGTAATAAAAATATGCGATAAAATCACTCCAATGGCATAGCTTTTGCTCAAGCATTTCTCGTATACATATTTTGTGAAATATTGTAGGATACCAAACAATGTACATCCTCAGGCCCCCTAAATAGACTCCCATAGTTAATTATATATACCTAAATCAACATGAAAACATGAGTAGCCCAATCTTCCTGTTTCGCATTCGCTTCTTCATGTAAAAATGTAGGTGATCTGTAGGTTCCATAAAGACATAAGCATAATAATCCACAACTAAACTGTATATTACATTCATAGTTCAAATACCATTCCATACATATGTATATAGGATAGCCTGAAATCATGCTGCGAACACAGGGTCCATATATGTAAGAGCATACACAGCCCGCAACTAGCCAGGTTCTGTGAGAGGGTGTGAAGCGACAGGGAGCCCACCCATATTCAGTACTGTGTATGGCGTACATATTAAATGCATCAATCTCTAACATGGGGTATGCCCTTAAATGTTAACACCATTACATCACAATGCTAAATTGCCCGCCTGATGACCTGCTCCTCCACCGAAGAGTATCCTTCCTCCAGATATGTAACACAGAGTATTCCAAAACTGTTACTTGGAGAGCCCCTGCCTCAGATCCCTGCACACAATACCCCGAATGCCACCGTTCCAGACCGAAGGAGAAAGCGTCTGACGTCAGGGGCTAGGGCAAGAGTTATAACTGCACAGGCATGAAGGCTCAGCCAATCGTGTCTGTAGTCGGTAGACTGAGAGCTCCAAAAAAATGCTTGCCCCGCCCCCCTCTCCCTGGGCCAACCAGAAAAGCTACAGCTCTGACAGCCGGGAGACTCCTTCCTCACTCCAGACTGCAAGCGATCCTGCAGCCATACAACTGGCCCTCCTGTCTCCACCGTCGGCCAGTTGTATGGAGAGGAGGAGAGTGTGTATATGGCTAAAGTGTCTGTGAGGGTTGCCATTATTTTAATGACATATTTGTCATTTTTAATCCTTTTGCTGCCACTTATGTAAAGCTTATGTCTGCGGCAGCATGGGCTTTTAAACACACACCTGGCTGCTATATTTTCCCATTAATGACTTGCCTTGTTTTGCACTATGTATCTGTGCGAAAATGGAATTCCTAACAAATGTTGACAAAGAACACAATTAACATTCCTATATTTTATCTAAAACATGGCAAATCTTATTTTTTTTTTAGTTCAGCTCCACTTTAAAACCCACGGTAGTTATATGTTTATTCATTGATCAGCAATCTACATCTTGTGGTATACCTGCTGACAGCAAGACTTATGCCCTCGTTGGGTCTTTGAGTTGATAGTACTTATATAAAGGGAAAGTAGTACCAACAAAGTCAGACTGATGAAGGGAAGTGATGTTTCCAAAGTGCGTTGCTTTGATCTCTGATGCTTTAGGGAGGTGAAGTATTGATCATCAGCACTAGGACTGAAGCTTTCTATGCATGCTGTCTGGACAGAGGTAGAAATCTCTTCGTCCTGTTTTGTGTTTGCATTCCCCTGCTGTTGGCCCTTGCAAAGAGGTGACCCCCTCCCAGGAACTGTGTAATCTAGTGACTTTTCACTGCCTTTTTCTCTTGGAGTTTCCCACACCCTTCTCTAGCCATCACGTCCTTATTTGTTTAATACTTCGTGGCCATGTGTCTACACTTGAGATGATCTACGATACATTTGTAATACATTTATTATATAACAATCTTTTACTATGACTATGTATGAGTGCTTTATAATTTAAAGCCTATTAACCTCACAGTATGTGATTAATTTCTATGGAGAGGTGACAGTGACTTCATCCCTAATATATGAGCTGAACACTTGTGTGGGTGTTCAGATGGTTTCAAATAATTATATGTTGTGTATATATACAACTGTATCTGGAAAGTCAAGCTTCATAGTCATTCATATCATGGCATATTTTAAAACACAGACAAAAGAACACTCCAGGCAACTCTTGAAAAGGTGATTGCTAAGTTAGGGTATGGATACAAGAAAATGTCCAAGTCACTGAATATCCTGTGAAGAGCAATTACATCCTGAATTAAAATGTATCTAAACCAAACAACAAATTAGCATATTGCAGCTAGCAGTCCAGATGAGGCATCTGCGTTAGTTTTTTTTTTTTAAACTGGTCATTTTGAAAATAACACATTTCTCTTTCTGGATTGCTACGATTACTCCTCCATTCCATCTATGAAGGGGACCATGGTTTCCAGCCAGACTGGGCTACAACCATGTCTGCCTCTCTTCTGCTCCATTACATGAGGATAGGGAGATTAGTAGTTTACAGAGGAACATTTTAATGCTTCCAGTTCAGGTCACAGGAATGGGCAAGGACACTGCATTTCTGGCATAATAAACTATTTTTTTCTGTACTTTTTGAAAATATTCTTTAAAAAATGACAAATATTGCAGTTGCCACATTGAAGGACTGGTAAGCTGCAATATGTAAAATTTTTATTCTTGGGTTTAGTTATCCCTTAAGAAATGGAAATAGTAAATCTGAAACAATATGTAATTTGCCAAAAAAGAATGACCGAGGAAGGAGACTAGTTAAGAGGCAACCAAGAAACTTATGACAACTCTGAAAGTGGCCGTGATTGACAGTGGTTAGGTACTTCACCAGTCTCTGCTTAATGAGGGAATGGCAAAATGGCAGGTGCTCTGAACGAAAATGTACATGACATTTAGAGTGGCAGACTCTGATGTCAGTTGGAAGAAGGTTCTATAGTTAAACTAAAATGAAGGGTTTTGGCCATCAGACTGAATGCCATTTGGTGTGAGCATAAAGGTGCCCATACACTGCACGATTATCGTACGATAATCGTATGCGATCGGTTTTTCGTACGATAATCGAGCTGTGTGAACGGAGACGTGCGACCGTTTCTACTGTACGGTCGCACGTCTTCTGTCGAACCAGCATGTTCGAAAACCAGCCGGGAATCGTACGATTCTCGGCTGGTTAGAACGGTGCTCGGAAGACAAATGCCGAACGGGCCGGTGTGCGCACGCGCACACTGCCCGTTCAGCATTGCGGTCATCGGAAGCCCGCCCCTCGGGGGGGCGGGCTTGCGATGATCGAGAGTGCGATCTGCCTGTCCAAGATAGGCAGATCGTACGTTTTTTTAATCCCTGTACAACCATGGTTGTAGAGTGTATGGCCACCTTAAGACTTTCTTTAATCATAAACAGTTACACCTGTAAAGCATGGTGGTGGAAGCACCATGCTGTGGGAAAGCATCTCCGCAGCTGGTTCTAGAAGTCTTGTGAGGGTAGAAGTTAAAATGAATACAATAAAATAAAGGAAAATCATGAAAGATAACTGATGCAGTCAGCAACCTCAGAATAAATTTTGTCTTCCAGCAAGACAAATACCCCAAGCATAAAGCTAAAACTACACAAAAATGGCATTAAAAAAATGTGTAATGTTCCAGATGAGGCTTGTCAAAGGCTAGAGCTAAATTTAATAGAGAATTTGTAGCTGCAAAAATAGTGATTTTTTTTTTCCACAATCCCCATGCTGCTTGACAGATCTTGAACCATTTTGCAAATAAGAATGGGGAAAAAACTGTGGTGTCCAGATTTATTAACAGACCCAAGGCAGTAATTGCTGCCAAAGCTGCACTGGCTAAATACTGACATGAAGGGAATGCATTGATGACTGCTACTTATGAGTAGTTTTGTGGGGGGAGGGGGAGTCATTATAATTGACTGATATCCATTAACTCTTTGAAGCTAAAGAGTCTGTTTTTTAAAAAATGTATCTTAAAAAAAAAATTTCACTGTGATTCCATGTTTTATGACAATCAAATACGAAAACTTTCGGGGGTCAAATACTTTTTCATTAGGGATGCACCGATACTAGTACGCATACTAGCCCAATTGCTCTGATACGGATTATGGCCCACCTCCCGACTTACTGATTGGCTAGGAAGTCGGCTTCACTTAGTGCTAGGCTTCCTAACCAATCAGGACGCCAGGCAGAGTGTCATGACCCACCTCATGGCTTCTTGATTGGATAGAAAGCCAGGCTGCCTAGCAACAAGTGAGGCCGGCTTTTTTGCCAATCGGAGCCGGGTCATGGCGTGACGCCCAGCTTCTTGATTGGTCAGGCAGCCTCGGTAAGTGAAGCCGGTATTCTTTCGATAGAACACTGGGTTCCCAGGCAATCAGTAAGCCGGGCGGCGGGTCATTGACGGGCACACGGCACCAGTATAAAAATGTCGGTACACGTACTTGATACTTTAAAACTGGTATCGGTGGATCCCTACTTTTTTTTATAATCAGTGTAGTTTTCAACTTGTTAGTAATATCTTTGAATTGCTGTGCTATTGTATTTATGCATTCCTCTTCCTTTTTACAGGTACATGTTTGGTTTGTCTGCGGTTCCAGCTATTTTACAGTTTCTTGGGTTTTTGTTTCTACCTGAAAGTCCACGTTGGCTTATACAAAAAGGACAAACACAGAAGGCCCGAAGAGTTCTATCCCAGATTCGGGGAAATCAAACGATTGATGAAGAATATGACAGCGTCAAGAATAGCATTGATGAGGAGGAGAAGGAAGCGGGTGCAGGTTGGTATATCTACTGAAATGTGTGTGTGGGGAGGTTGTTTATTTTACACTTTGCATGTCTGAGTCATTAACATTTCTTGTCCTGGTGACTTGTGCCACTAGGACAGGACATGAAAAATGAGGACATTAAAAATTAGAAATCTCTCCATTGTCAATACAGACAGCTACAAAAACAAGACAAGTGCTGACCCTTCTTCACGTTATTAAAAAGAAAAGTCAGATGTTATATTTTAAATTTAATGAATATTAACATTTAAAGTGAACCTCTAAGAAAATAGGAAAAAAAAATCTTATAGTTTCACTATAATACATTCCTGAATATTTAGCCCCTGGATGCTAGAATGTTATTTTATGGTGTTTTTCAGTAAAAATTAAAATTATGTATTGTTAAATTGTGGCTAAAACATTTTTTTCCCTTTTAATCTTATATGTGGTTCTTTTTTGGAGCTTCGATCCTCACATGATTACCACCTTCCCTCATTTTTTATTTGGATACAAAGTCCTCAAAAGTTAAAAATCCCAGAGCACACATATTAGAGAAACAGCCGACCAATAGAAACGGCTGTGTCTAGGCTTCTTATTGCTAATAAAGAACATACCTTTCAGTTAGGCAGAAAACAGCTAGAAAAGGTCAGTTTGCCAATTAGTGTCAACGGAAGGAAGCACATTTTGGTATAATGCCAATACAATTGTTATAGTGTTACTTCTTCCAGAAAGGTGCTTTTGCCATTTATCAAAGTATACATGATATAACTAGCTATGTGTGAACAAAATACAAAAGATACTCTGACAGATGCTTCCAAAAAGTAAAAGTGTAATGTGTGAGCTCATAGTGTGACTTTTAACAAGATCCTGTCTGAATACAGTTTATTGACTTGCATGGTACATGAAACTCTGTGTAGCTCTACATGATAATTGTCTCCTAAGAAAAGTGGTATTGCTTTCTGCATGTAAATGTAGCAACTGAGCTTTTATTACGCTAATGTCACAATTAGACCTCCTTGTGTACCAAAGTGTCTTAGGGAAAAAACTTTCTCAAAAAACACATATTGCTGCCTAATCACTGAAGACATTCACTTTACTTCTGTTATTTCCTAGCACTTTTGGGACTTAAGTCGTATGTCTGCTTGTCTTTGCTCCTTTTAGAAATATATGTATGACTTGTATTTAGAAGAGGACTGTATGCCTCACCCCTGAAGTTCCCCAGTTGAAGAATTTTAACAGACATGTCTGCACAGGATCTCTAAGTTCACCAAGTTCCTTTTTATATAGTCTGGTTGAAAAAGACACAAACCTATTGAGCTGAGCCAACACAGAAAAAAACAATAGAAAAACCTCCATAAACAAAACCCTATGCCCACAGTTCATTTAGAGGAAGGCAGAAAAAAAACCTGTAAAGTATCGTTCAATTCGCTAAAATGGGGGATAAAATCCTTCCTGAACTCCTGAAGCAAACAGATATTCCCTGGATTAACAATCTCTGGTGTTTTTATTCCGCACATTCAGGAATGCATCCAGATCTTTTAAAACAATTAACTGAGCTAGCTAGAACTAGTCCTTAAGGTAGCTGTTACTGAGAAGAAGCCATTCTGTATGCAAAGGTTTAACCTATTTTTCTCCAGAAGCAAAGAGTGCCCACTTGTCCTTTTGCAATGACCTTTAAAATGATTAATTTTGCACTAAGTCCATACTTTTAATACAAGAAAGTATGTTGCTGGCTTTGGAAATTGTAGCTTGACATTGCTATTAAGTCTATGGTCTACCAGAACAACAGATCCTTCTCGATTATTGACTCCCAAAATCATATTCCCCTATGCATGCAACTGCTTAACGTCATTTGCCATATAGGTTCCCAAAAAGCTGTCGGCAACTTCTGATGTGGAGCAGCTAGCACATCAGGAGCCTTGTGTTTGTTCCCTGATGCCCAATGGGGACTAAACCCAGCCCAATACACAGTGGGCTGCACCTAGAGAGCTTGCTGCCTGTCTGTTGGACACCAGTAGTGTAATATGTCAGAGCTGCTGTGTATACAGTACATGTATTTTGTTATAAATTGTGTGCGTCTGTGGTGGGGCATTGGTCTAATCTGAAGCAATCAATTCTATGTACTCTATGAAGTACTATCTATGGTCAGGCCTATGTTAATTAAAATGCAGCTAGCAAAAGTGTGGCTCTTTGACCCGATTAATTCAGAGTGAGTGTTATTTTGCCTCTGGTGATTCAACACACTTGGATGGTTACTTGACAATCAGACTATTTTACCTGCACTTTTGGGTTTTTTAAGTAGGGTGTGTTGTTTTATTACTTTGATTCTGGGGGCACAGAGTGTAAGTTTAGCTTGTTGGGGAGTATTGAAGGCAAAGCAGGAGCCAATCATGGACCATGAGGGAAGAAAGAGGAGACCAAATGGCAGTTGAGCATGAGTGGGGGTGGTCCACAACCAAGTGTGAAGCATCAAAATCGCAAGTGGTTGTGGACCAGATGTGGCATAGAAGAGTCAAAATAGAAGCTGTTCTTGAAGGGGTGTAGAGGACAGAGGAGTGGCAGCTGACCATAAAACACAGAGTACCAAGCAAGGTGTGAGAGGGAGGTAAGGCAGGAAGTAGAAATGAAAAATAGAAACACACGAGTGCCACAACCTGGTGCAGCGAAAGAGGATTTGAATGGGGTAAACAATTAGTTACAATGTTGACCTCACATGGATACTAAGTGTAGTGAAATCGTTACATGGCCACAACTGTCAGGCTTTGAGGAAAAACACAGTGCTCTACAAGGACAATGTATAAACCACTTATGTCATCTTGGTCAGATCTGTAAAACTGATGTGCTGCGATTCTGGAAATAAAACGCTGGACATGCGACCAGCACACTGGTCATGTAATGCTGCGATGTAGGAGAAAGGAAAAAATGAATTGCACTCACATGAGGATGTGATGAGAATGGCCCATCTGATGATCTATGTAGAAATGAAATGGCAGCAGCAGATTGATCCCGATGGTCAGTAAATTCTGATTGGCCATAGTTGATGAATGGGCACGTTAGGCATTTGGTTTTCTACATTGGTAAATGCCTATCTTGTTGTCAAAGAGGAAATGTTTTTTTGGTGCCTGTGCAACCGGAGGCAAGTTTGTTTGGAGCTATGATGTTTTTTATATTCCTGGCTTTCTTAAAGATGACAGAAGGTCTGGGTGGTAAGGAAGGGCCCGATTTTAGGATCACCAAGTAATATATGCCAGTTTTTCTTGATGTATGACTCTGTGGCTATGATTGAACATAGTGATGAAACGTGCATCATCCCCTTGTTTGTGATGATCCCTCTCGTTTGGAATTTGGGGTTCCTGGGCTCTTCGGTAGGTAGAGTATGCTTTTTCTATGGTCTGTTCTGCTTTTCACAAAATTGTTCTTGACGATGTGAGCTGAGCCTTTTGTATTCCTCAATCTCTGTGCAGTTTCTTCTTAGTCTGCAGAGTTTCCCTTTTGGGGATGTTTTGTTTCCATCGTGGGTTATCGTGGTTGAGGGCAACTATGCACAGTTGCCTCCTGTAGGTTTAACATAGTTTTTAGCGATGATTGTGTTTTAACTGTGGGATAGTAAGGCAGTAGATGACTGTGGCCAGGGTCAAGACAGGAGAGAGTACGATATGATCATGCACAGAGTTCAGCAAGCGTCCTATTATTTCTCAGTTGACTTTTTTTACAGCTTTTTTTTTTTATGCGAGGAGCTGCACACTAAACCTGTAGGTAAGAGCTTCAGGTCAATATGCAACACATCAAGAAATCACATTACTATGCTGTCCCTGACCCCCTTTCACTACTTACAAAGCTCCTCTAGTGTAGGAAGTTGTTTTGAAGGGAGGATGGGAGAAAATGCTGGTTGGCAATTGTGCTTATCAGCTTTTTAACTGAAACTTTGTCAAATCACAGAAATTGTCTGTGTCCTGTTCCTATTTCCCCAAATGGATACGAGCATTGGGTAAAGCCCACTGGGGTTTTCTCTCCATGTGACCATTTCTGACCGTGTTTGCAACCAGTGGTCAGATCCAAAGACCTGATTTTCAGTTGGCATACACATTTACTATTAAGGCTTCATGCCTCTGAATGAAGCCCTACTTCAGCCGATATGTCCTTGCACATTGTGGCATTATTTAGATCTGTATTTTAGGGCAATGTTCAGGGGTCTGAAAAAACGTTTTCAGAATGGGGGTAGGTTTATGGGCATAATTTTATATAATGTGCATAAATGTGTTTAACATGTAAATTAATTCTAGTAGCAAAACAAATGCTGATCTTCTTTCAGATGTTCTTGCTATGTGTGTGTGCGTAGTATACATGCATCACTTAACTACTAGGAAACCATGTCTACCATTTTTTCCTTTAAGGATTCTAGAACTATAATTTTTTGCACACACATTAGTTTGATACCTTGTTGCGTGTATGTTTGTTTTTTTTTGTTTTTTTTCTTCTTTTTTACTTGGGTTTAAGTGGTTGATCAAAATATATCGCATTCTTCTCTTTAAAAAGTGCAAGGTAGCATTGCAAATGTTCAGTTAAGCCTTTTTTTCTTTAAATGTCAAGATGTCATTTAAATGCCAGCAGTATAATGTGGTTTAAGATGCATCAAAGTTAACTATGCTCTTATAACTGAATTTACATACACTTAACCATACAATGTTTCTTTATCAATATGCTAGAAATTGTTTCAGAAATTTTTTTAAGGACTTATTATTATTTATTAAAATTGAAAAGGAAACAGACTGTCAAGACAAAAACACACTTCTGCCCCATAACGGGTAATGCCTAGACTTTCATAATTGTGTGGACTGATATAAATAAATAATCCAACTGTTCATAAATTACTACCGAAACATGGCTGATCACTGATACTGTCTTGGCTCCAGACTGGACTATAATGATTTAGGGGTACACAAGTAACAATGTATTTTGATACATTCTCTCAACAGTCAGACCATATTGCTAGTTATAACTGGAGTGGGGTTGAA